GGATCCAGAAAAGGCTTCTGAGGATGACATCCATGGAGTCTATGCCAACAGATGTCGGTCTCCCTATGCAGTCTACCCCAGGCACATGTCTCCCTCCCTCGGGCCTTTGGGACATTTGCTCCCTGTCCTGTCAGCCTCTCATAGCCCCATGCCTTCCTGACTTCCTCCTCATATCCTGCCTCTTTCACTGACCATCTGGTGAAAGACAGAGACACAATCACCGACATTTCACATCTGAAATTAGAGTCATCCATGGCCAGCGCATAATCTCCTTGAGGAATCTTGTCAACCATCTGCTGTGAGGCAGAAGCCCTCCTGTGCTGTGGTCAGGGATGAGGATCGTTCTGACCAAAGAAAGTTTTCTGGACTTGGATGACCAGAGAATCCCCTTTGGAGATTGGATGTCCCTTCCTCAGTAGCATCCCTTCAGCCTCTGAGTCTAGCTGGTATCCTCAGACTGCTTCTTTCAAAAGTGATTTCCACTGGATGTGCAGCAAACACAGTGGCCTGGCCAGGATCCAGGAATATTTCTTTCCTGTGAGATGCCTCAGATTGTGTGTGTGTGCACGCGCGTGTGTGTGTGTATCAGTGTCAGTAGTGACATGGGCAACCCATAAGCCTATTTTCTAGATGAAAGACCTGTAATGTTGAGGGAATCCTGGAGCTTTAGCCACAGGAACAGTGAAGGGTTAGAGAGACCAAGACTGAAAGGCAGACACAGAGAAAGAATCCCGGACCATCATCCTCTGAATCTATTAATCACAGATCTGATGCTGCAGCATTCTGATTCATGAGCTTAAAGCCTCCTTCTCTCTAACTTTTGCATTGTGTAAGCCACTTCCAGAAGTGTGTCTAGAGAGAAAGGGAAGAGGGAAGGCAGTGGTGGGGGGGAGATGTGATAAGGACAACATGCAAACACACACACATACACACACAAACAGACACACATACAGACACACACACACACAAACACACACATATACGAAAATGCTATTATAAAAACTATGACTTTGCTATGGAAGGATGGTCATCAAACTCTTATTCTGTGAAGGATTCTCCATGTTGTACTCATGACCTGCCAAGTCAGCGATTCCCACTGATGTGATAGCAGCATGACCGTTATGGCGTTAACCAACCAGAAGGAAACTGTGTTTGGTACTTATAAAAGTGGTGAAAAGCCCATACCGTAGACCATGAGCAAGTGACCACTGTCATTTTGCTAAATGGATATTATCTATCAGTACAAGTATCTTCGAAATACTTATGCATATGGTGAGGAAGAATTTTATTTGTTTGTTTGTTGTTGTTGTTATTGCATTGAGAATAAGTGTTGAAAGTCTAGCCCGAAGTGAACCATGTTGCTTGCTTTCTCCAAGAATAAGAAAGAAGGTAAGAGCCAGAGGGAGGGTGGAGTGGCGTGGGATGCTGTATTCCGGGCAGGACATGCCCGAGGCACTCCTGGGAACTATAATTAACTGCATAAGACTGGGTTTGGCAATATTCTGTCAAGGACAGGGGAGGGGCTCACAAATCCCACTCTTCTCTGAGGATCCATAGCCAGTTAGATTTGTTGATGGAGAAAGAGACATTTTCTTCAGTGGTGTAACCACTGGCAAATTGCCCACACTCCTGGAAATGACCTCTCACCCATGCTTCTAGGAGTAACTGTACTGAAGCTCACCGGGGCACCAACAAATAAGAATGAAGGGTGAGAAAGGAGGAGAATGAGCAGCTGGGTAGTGCGTCGGTGAGGACAGGGTGGAACGGGAGAAGGTGACAGAGGACAATTAGGACCACAATCCATCGCAGAAAGAAGAGTCACTTCTGTGGCTTATAGCTAAGCTACTGTTTTAACCCTATATCTCTTCTCATCCAGAATCACCTTCCTGCCCATAGCTCAGCTCTGTCCCCTGTACCACACGGCACCTTCAACCCACCCCTCTCTATAGCACCCAGCCTGGCTTCATGTGTCAGAGAGCTCTGGACATCAAAGAATCTCAAGACTCAGACCCAGCCCACTCCCACCCTGCTCCCCCCCCCACACACAATCTTTCCTGGCAGTTCAACCCTAACGCGCACACCAACTTTTTGAAAGAAGTTATTGTCTCTGAAACAGGAGGTGCAATCGTACGCCGTCTGCCTGCCTAACATCCTTGACATCTCTGTAGGCTCATCACTGTCCCAGAAGATGGGCCTGTGTCCCTGCAGTACCATAGACCTTAGACAGCACACAGTGCTCAAACACACTGAAGCTCTTACAGTTTGGATCCTGGATGTCCCCCCAGGAGACATGTGTTGACAGTTTGGTGCCCAGTCTGTGGTGTAACTGAGAAGAGATGGGACCTTTAGGAAGCGGGGCCTCGTAAGAAGAAGTTAAGTCCTTATGGCTCTGACCTTGAAGGATATACTGTGACCCCAGGCCTTTTCTTACTTCCTTCACTTCTTGGCTGCCAAATTACGAACAGGCTTCTTCCATCATCCTCTTCCACCATGATAGGCTGTGTACTGACACACAAATCTGAAGCCCAGGGTCATACAGCCATAACTGAATCCTCTGAAATGGAGTCTAAAGGAACCTTTCCTGTTCTTAAGGTGATTATCTCAGATGTTTTGTTGCAGTGACAGGAAGCTAACACAAAATCTGTAACAGCAATGCTACCAACATGGCAGGTTCCTTTTGATTCCCTCATAAGCCTTATGACTGATATCTTAAAGCGCTGGCTTGTTTTCATCTGTTTGATTCTAGGGGCCCCTTCTATCTTAGCAAATGGTCCTAGTTTCTTGTTTATGCAGCAAAGAATCCTATGGAAACCAGGATGAACACACACAGAAAAGCAAAGGCAAATGAGAGGTGGTGCTTGGATACGGGGACATTGGTGAGCCATCTTGGTCCATGAGATGGGATGTGGCTTGCTCACCCAGGCCTTGGAGACCCACAGGGCTGGAAGATCTGCCCCATGGCTGCCCCCTTTTGACCCTGCTGTGATTTGGATGTCATTTTCCCCAGCAAAATTCCTGTTAAAACTTGGTTGGCTGCCAACACAGTGACATGTGGAGGTGGCATCTTTAAGAGGGATTAATGTCTTTCTGGTGACACTGGATGGGTTCTCTTGGGAACAGAAATGCTACAGAGCAATCGCTCTGGACAGCTTTGTTCCTGTCACCTCTGCATCTGTCTGCCCACCCTTTGACCCACTGTGGCATGAAACAGTGGGAGGTCCTTACCAGATGCTTCCCCCTAGTCTTAAGTATTCCAGCCAACATAAAGCTTTTTCCTTTATAAGCTACCCAGTCTCTGGTATTGTCTTATAGCAACAGAAAATGGGTCAAGACAACCCCACTGAAGACTGTGGTACCCAAGACGTGCCTCACACAGTCCTACCTCCCAGCCTTTGCCAGCCTTTGTTTACAGTAGTCTTTCTACTTGGTTGTCTTCTTTGCACAACCTGCATACCAACCCAGGACAGTCCCATTTATCTTACAGACCAGGTTCTGCATGAATAGTGGGTCACGTGACAATTCCATCCATCTCCCCAGCCACTGCTTACAAGAAACAGCTTCCACCCCAGGTTGAAGACAGTAGGAAGGCTAATTTGACATTTAGGGGTAGGATCTGGTCTAAGCATTGGGGAATTTCCAGTGTCCCTGCCAAAGATTTCCATGTCTTTACAGGCCACACTGTGGGTCACTGATACAATGCCCTCTGTGGAGCTAGTGATCACAGAAGGACAGATTGTCCTCTGTAGTCCAGGTGTGTGACAACTCAAGAGGAGTTGAAGGGACTGTAACTGAATCCACACTCAGATCTCAGCACACGGACCTAGGGGCTAGTCACTGAGCTGAGTGGATGTCTCAGGAAAGGGAGGTGACATCTCCAGGGACTGATAACAGTTCTTAGCACAGGCAGATGAGGTCTTTCAGGATAAGGAAGCCAGAGAGCACCCATGGATTGAAGGATGCTGAAGGATGCCAGAGGGCTTGGTGGGATTTTTTTCTCACTTAAAACCTGCATCTGAGTGATCTCAGGCGATTCTAAGCCTTGCCCCAAAGGCTCTGGCTCATATAGATTTAAAGTAAGCAAGGAGGTCGTAAGGTTATTTAGAGCTACACTCTCAGAAGCATAGGGTCACGAGGAGCCGATAAAAAGGAAAGAACCCACACAAACTTCAAAGATGGCCCTGCCTCTGTATTTCTCACTGGGTACCAAGAGGTTAGACACAGCCTGGCAGAACTTAGTTTCCTCAAGGTTATTTAAAACACACTCACACTTGATTCAGCGGAGACACAGTCGTTGGTATGCTACAGGGTAAACCTGGAGAGACCCGTTTACAGCTAAGCATCTCCTCGAGAGACCCCAGGACCAACCACTTGTAGGCAGAGAACTTAGCTATGCAGAAGTCAGGATTGAGGCCATTTCTGGGTAAAGAAAGGCTCCTTTGTTTTCATGATTAGGCAATTAAATGGTTCAGAAATGCAGTCATCCAGGGAAGAGGCAAGCCCAGGAGCTTCAGCAGGTTGGGTACAAACGGTCAAAATGCAAGAGTGAATCTCTGCTCCCAGACCTTTGCCTTCGGCTCTACCCTAACTGCCTTTCTTTAAACAGGCATCGGAATTGAAAATTAAACCGTGTGGGTGGGGTATTTAAGATCATACTGAACAGCTGCCCCCTTTAAAGATCTGGCCCTCGGAACGTTCCAGGCTGGGTCACTTATCAAATGGAGATTGACTTTTATCCGATTAACCGATGGAGAAGCATTCTTCTCCATCTTGCAGGAGCATTCTGGGGGAATAGCGTTCTGCAGACTGCAGGGGAAAGTTGGGTCTTGGCTTCCCTCCCGCTCGGCCAGTGGAAAATTACAAAGAAGGCAGAGCTGTCCTCCGTCTCCTCTCGTTCATCAGCTGTTCCTGGGCCCAGGAAAATATATCGAGTCACACGCCCCCCCCCTCAAACAAACAAGCAAGCAAACAAACAAACAAACAATGAATGAGTCTCCACTTACCTGGGGCGGAGAGTAGTCTGGGAGGTGGCGGAGGTGGGGGTGGAGGGGGTAGAGGCGGTGGGGGCCGACACTGGCAGATGTGTTGGCAGCTGTCAGTCACCTTAGAGCAAGACTTTTGGGGCTCAGCATGCGTCACCTGCAGATATGGACACAGCCAAGAGATGTAGGAGGCCACAAGGCAGCTAGAAGCCAAGCTAAACCTGCCCCCAGGTCCCTTCCAGGCCACAACCTGGGATTCTGGGTCACTGAGACCAAAACAGGCAGAACAGACAGGAGTCTAAGGGGTTATTCCCAGAGAGTGGCAGCTGCTCCACCACCTAAGTCCCCAGACCTGAGTCTATCTTCCTGAGACCGCACAGGCTGAGCCTTCACCTTTCTAGTCACTGGTCCTTCAGCCTTTCTGTGTCTGTCTGGGGCACAGTCCTCCATCTTGGAGAGGAAACCTACCTGACTGAACCTTTGTCTGCATCCCACGTGACCAACGGACAGAGTAACTAACCTCCTGGTGCTCTCTGTATAGCAGCTGAGTGCTTTGTGGGAAAAATATCTACCCAATCACCCCAATCCTTCCAGTGACCCCCAAGTGTTTCCTTACAACTTAAGTCATGGCCTAAGCAGCCCTTGGCAAGTTCTGTGCATCCTTCTGTTCCCTTCCCTACCCTCCTGTCATCCTTGGTCGTTGTGTGTGCTATCCTGGAGGCTGTCCCGGTTTCCACCTCACCCTTTGATACCCCTCAGCTTTGCTTTCATTTCTCCAACAGGCCGAATCTCCTTCTCAGAGGTTCCCTGGTATCACGACTCACTTCTGCTGCTTAGTTCCAACCCGTCTTTACCTCAGGACCGTAAGCTATGCCAGGACAGGCCTTCCTATGCCTTGGCTTCCCTGTCATTATTAAAAAAACTGGCACCCAAGGGAAGGGCCCAGCATTCACAGAGAGCTGGCCAATGAGTGAACAAACATCAAAGTCTGGACCAGAACCCGTGCCTTGTCAGTCTGGGCCCGAGGTCTTCCCAGGATGGGTTTCTGGTTCCTTATGTCAGCTAGAGACAACTGTGCTCGACAATATTTCCTCGCTCCAGCTGTGTCCTGGAAACCCCTCTGGAAGCTCTGACACATTCCCGCCTTTGCCTTTCCTATGACCAGTGAACTGAGACTTTTGCAGGGAGCTGGGCCTGCAGTGTTTTGCATTAGTCTCCCAGTCAAAGAAAGAGAAAGCCAGCCTGAGAACTGGGTTAGATAGTTACCAACATCCCTCTGTATGCAGAGGATTGTAAAGCCAGGAGTCCAAAGCTGGCTTCAAGACAAGAAGGAAAGAGTTGAGGACATGTTGCCTCAGTGCGAGGCATGGTAAACTATTGTGGCTTCATCTAAGCATTTAGAAACACAGGATTCTAGTGTCCCTGCAACTTCTTCCAGCCTGCCATTACAGTTGGGGACCCCAGAGTTCCTCTGCTGTGTGAGGGAGGCTTCTGATGTGCTTGGTGGCACATCAGCTGCCTAGTGGTTGTCAGGGTAGCAGTGAGAGACTGGACCACTTTACAGCCCCAACTTAATATCTAAGAGGCCAACAGGCTCTTTTGGACCACCTCTTAGCATCTTTAAAGGGCCACTGACTATGTTTCTGACCCTGGAAACAGTCCTGTCTCCCAAGATAAGGCTACACTACTCAGAGTATGAACTTCCTTCATTCCTGTAGTGACATAATTTGATTGGTAGAGTCAGGGTAAACAGGCCAGACACTCTACCATATTTCTGAGCCCATCCCCCAGTCTGGCCTGACTCCTGCCCTGCTCTAGGTCATCACTGTCTAAGACTCTTAGCTCAAGCATGTCCAGCCAAAGCAATTCCTTTCTCAGTCTCCCAGGCACACTGAACGCAACAGAGTTCAGGAGCGGCACACTGCTTTGACCTGGCCTGACACAATGACCTATTTTTTTTCAAGAGGGCACAAGAGTAAAGATCCACAAGAGTGTTTTTAATATGATCAAATGACAGACAAGAAGATTGGGGACCAAGTCTCAGGGATGAAGAAGGAAGCAATAAAGCTGTTCATTGCATCTTAGAAATCAGTGGATCCTGGTCTCTCTCATGTGAAGGCTCCACTGGGACCCAAGGGAGCAACTGCTCAAGAACCTGTCCTCACAGAAGGGCCAAGAAGGGTCTGTCTTTCTTACCCAGGGGTGGGCTCTAGCTGGGGAGTTCTTATAGGTTGGTTGTGCATGAGCCCATGATTGATACGCCTCCCTCCACTGACCCCTTTATCCACCAGCAGGCTTCTCTTCACCCTTCAAAGCCCTTTCTCACACAATCATCTGGGATAAGCTGTCCTTACAGCCAGACTTGGGCCTCTCTGCTCATTGCTGCCTCTTTACCTTGGAAATATTCCTCTTTGAGGCAAGCACCCCGCTGTTTTATATTGTCTGTCCCTTCACACAAACTGTAGGTGTCTTGGGGCAGACAGGTAGATGGTGAGTGCTTTATTTGTCCTGAGCAGGTGACATGTGAAGCCCTGCTAGGGGCATACTGTCATCCCTTCATGAGGTCGACAGATATAGGACGCTTATTAGCCATACGACAGGCCAGACATGGGGTCAACAAGCTTAAATGACACACCCAGCATCCAATCCAACACTGTCCAGACCCAGTGACCGCCTGACGCTTGTCTTGGTTACTTTTCTCAGTTGTGGAACTTCAGGAAGGAGGACTTTAGTTTAACTCACAGCTCCAGGGAGAGCCCTTCATGGTGGGAGATCCCCACCAGCAGGAGGCGGATGTGGCTGGTCACAGTGTGTCCATGGTCAGGAAGCAGAGGGACACAAACGTGGACAGGGGAAACAGGGCTTTATTGGGAAGGGACTGGAGGTCATTCGTGGGATGTTCTGGCAGAGAGTTTGGTTGCATTTTTTCTGCGTCCTGAGGATGTGAGTGAACTCACATTGAGGTCACTTTGCGTTCCCACATCCAGTATGTCCGGTGCCTCCTAAACATGCTCAGGATTTACCTCTGTCTCCACATTCTCTCTGTTACTGCCCTGTGCCAGATACTCATGTCTATTGAGTAGCACCTGCGTCTCACCTAGTATTGCTAGGGAAATTGTCTTGTTAAATTGAATTATGGGTAAACAGTAGAAAGCACTATATCTTACAAATATCCACAGGATAGTACAGAATAGACTTACACTAAAAGTGAACCCGGGCTTGGCATATATGTAATATGGCAGCCCTGCCCCTCTCTGTGTATCTCTTTGCCATCTTGTCTTGTGCTCTGGAATCAGAATCCACCCTCCCTGCCAACCTAGGCTAAGATGTCTAAAGTGACAATCTGTGAAGGTGTCATGTCTGACTTTGAACTCTCCATGTGCCTAGGAGTCCCAGAATCAAATCTCAACTTCAAGACAGTTAGGAGCTGGCCTCTCCTTCCCTCTCTAGGTCTTCCCATGCCTCATCCTTGCCTTTGGCTTCAGGCTTTTCCCTCTGTCAAATGTGTCACTGTCTGGTGTATCCAGAACTCTGTCACATCTCAGTGGCAGCACCTCTCTGGGAGGTTTTCTCCAAGCTCCAGGTCTGAGCCATTTGCTCCTCCTGAGAGCTTTTGCCTGGAATCACTTGTTCAACGACGTCACTGGCACAGCCTGTCAGCACCACAACGACTGGGACCACTAAGCCACTGGCTCTTGACACACACCCTGTCATCTGGAGGTACCCAGTAAAGGCTGCTGCTGGAAAGTGCAAGCCGAGGGAGCTGAGTGGGAAGACTCAGCTTCTGCTAGGTCTGGGATAGCTTCGTGCCAGCACACAGACCATGAGGCCAGATCCAAGACTGTCTCCCTAGCGCTTGTTTTAGATAAGTGCCCACAAGCATGATGGCTTCTGGCATCCTTTAAGGAGATAGGCCAGCACCACAGTAACTTGACGAGACACACTCCTGTCACACCTAATAAATCTGCCAGCCTGTTATCCTCTTCCCTTACAAGAAAAGAAAATCAACTGAAGTGAACTTAGAAGAACCCTAAATCATAACAGCTCCATTCCAGACACATTAAAAGGAGAGAGGGTTAGGGATTGGCCCCTCCCACCCTTGGCAATTTAAATGACATTGGACTTAAGCAACTCTTATCACCTTGCCACAGCCAGAGGCTTTCACCGATTTCAAGGGAGGAACTTGCCACATGAGGGACCCAGGTTTCTGGCCTCATCTAGTGGCCCATTAATCACAGGATGGTTGCATCAGACCTATCCTTTACTCTCTGGGGGATTCTTAGGCAACAATGGCTCTGAGATCTTTCTCTGTGTTTGGGAAACTCCGAGGGTCTGATGGATTTATTCTCTCCACTTAAAAGAAACACGTGGCCTTGTGAGCATGTGTGCTTCCTTCTCCTTCCTCCTGCGCCCCTCCCTGAATCCAGCTCTCCTGCTTAAAAAAAAAAACAAACAAAAAAAAAAAAAAAAAAAAACAAAAAAAAAAAAACCAGACCCATGCACTGCCAAGCCCCCTTCCTTTCCTCTGGCTTCTCTATCCCTATCATCTGTAGATGAATTTTCCAGAGCTTCAAGCCAAGATCTGGCCCGTTCTATTTAACTCAAGGATTCTTTTCTAATTGATTTTCATGAGAATTGATTTGTATTGAGTCTGAGAATCTGAAACACGCATGCACAAAGGCTTTTGTAAACACTGTCTGACTGTAGGACACGACAGAGACGGGGCTTTGCTTTGTTTTTCTTTTTTTTTTTTTGGTAGTCCTCTGACTGGTAGGGCAGGTGGCAGTGGCTCTTTAGAGCCCTTTAAGGTACATGGCAGCTCTGTTGTCCCTGTCATCCCTCCCCTCTCCGTCCTGGCTGAAAGATTTTGGGAAGACAGAGAACTAAGCACCTGAGTATACAGTCAGGTGAATTCTGCAATGGGGCTCAACTGGAAGTTGAAAAAAGGGACCTAGTCTCAATGGTGCAAGTGTTGAGAAGTGACAACCCTGAACCCTGAGGACACAGTGCACATTTAAACAAAGCAATCATAAGTCAGAGGCAGGCCAGGGCAGAGAAAGCTTTGGCCTGAGCTGGGGGTGGGGTACCTCTAGTGGGTGATGGAGTGTGGAGGTGTCTCTGTCCACTGGATGTAACATCTCACATCCTAGCAACAGCAAGGACAGCTATGAATCATGATTCCTGTGGTCCAGGTGATGTACTAAGCAAACAAGTACTGACACTAAGCAAACAAGTACTGACGTCATAACAAGCAGGAAGGAGAAACCCAGGATCAGAACTTAAGTATGTTTGTTGTTTAGTCACTCTGCTGGTAAAGGACTGAGCTGGGCATGGAGGTTCTGGGCAGGACTAGGGAACATTCCATCCAATCACCTCTCTGCCTTGAGTAACTGGAGTTGGTGGGTGCTTGGTCTCTGCCCTGAAGACTGGGAGGCCAAAGGTGAGGGTTTGTCCTCCAGCAGTCTTGATAGACTCCATTCTGCAGGAATGGTGGGTCACCATCCACCTCCCCTGCCACTACTGACAAGAACCACAGCCCTTACCCTAGGTTGAAGACAGTTGGAAGGCTAATTTGAAGTTTAGGGGTCGAATCTGGTAGGAAGGCATCTCTGTGGGATCATTCTGGAGGTTTTTTCTTTGTTATTGTTTGTTTATAAGTTCGGTTCCCCCCACCCCCCAAAAGCTGCAGTAGCGCTCACTCTGACGTCTTAGCACCTTCCTATATTCAGTCCTGCAGGCCATAGGCCACAACGGAGCCTCTTTGCAAAGTTTCTTATTTTTTCAGGGTCAGGGCACGTTAGACTTGACCAGTTTTTCTTGCTCCTCAAATCTCCCCAAATCTCCCCAAGGACCACTCAGTGGGTGGCTGTAGGGGGAGCTCTGAAGTGACCATATCCCCTTCCCAGGAGGCCTCTACCCGCTTCTCACCTGAACTAAACCCCAGAGTGGGTGCAGCGCACAGTGCAGCAGAAGTGAGGGCCAGCAGCAGCCATGGCGCAGCACCAGGTCCCGGAGTAGCATCTCGGCCCGAGGCGCCCACTGGTGAGCTAACTGTCAAGGGAGCAAGGCTTGAGTCAGGTGGACACTGCATAGGTACGGTAGCATCAATTCAAGAACCAACGCGGTGAGGACTCACTTGCCTCGCACTTGGGGGCACCTGCGCAAAGCCAGTCTTTATCTCCCTTCCAGAGCGCACACACTTGCTGACTCTCGGTGCTTCCCAGAACTCACACCCTACCTATCCTGGCGCGCACCCCCTCCCCTTCGGAATACCGCATGCACGTCTTGATTCCATGCACACCTCCAGAAACATCCAAACACACTTACTGAACCTCGTACAACCCCAGAAACGGCCATGCACAACTCTGACTAGGAGTACGGCTTCAAACCCATCGAGAATCCCTCACTCTGCGTGCGCACGCACTGTGACCCCCCATGCACCGCCACCGACTCCCGCCCGCACGCTCCTTGACTCTGCCTGCACAGTGCCACCAGATCACTCGCTGCGTGGAGTCTCTCTGCCCCAGGGACTTCACTGTGCACACTGTCACATAGGCACCTCCGTGAGTGCCCCCATTTGCCGCCCAAACCCTAGCTCCTGTTCCCGGGCAGGCGTAGGTTTTCCTGCACGCCCCCATCACCGCCCGCACCCCTCCGATGCCTCACGCCACCTTGCCTGGTGGCGACCCCCACCGATCGTCGACACAGAGAAGGGAGGTCAGGGTTCCCCCCACAGCAGCTCTGTTCTCGGCAGCCGGACGGCCCCCATTTAAAGCCAGCCGCCTCCCCAGTCCCCCGCCCTCTAGGCGGGGCCTCCAAGCTCACCCTGGCGGCTGCGCGCGCGCTCGGGGGCTTCACTTGCAGAGGACGAGCGTGGGGCGCTGGAGCAAAAGTTTGCGCGCTGCTTGGGCCTCCAGGGCAGCTGATCTTGGGACCCGGGGCGCGGCGCGCTCGCACGGGGCTCCAGGCTCCACTTGGCCGCGCGCGGGCCGGGAAAGGCGGCCACCTCCAAGCCCGTTGTCCCGGTCGGGCTGCCCAGGCAGAGGGCGGAGAAAGTATCCTCGGATCCTCCGCGAGCCGGCCGCACGAGTCTTCCTTCAGCCCCGCCACGGGTCCCTGCGCCGCCCCGGTCCCCGCCCTTCCCGGTGGCGCCTAACGGCTGCCCGGGGCGCAGGGTGCCCGGGGCCCGCGGGAGGCAGCGGGCGAGAGGCGCCGGCCCGGAGCACCCGCTCCAGCAGCAGGGCCGCGGGCGGAGGCGAAATAAATAATGCACGAAAAAGGAAAACAGACGTGAGCGGAGCCAGAGCCTCGCCCGCCTCCCTCCCGGGCTGCGCTCCCGCCCGCGCTCCCCGCTGCCGCGGCCGCCAGCGCCGCTGCAGTGATTCCTCGTCTCCATCTAGCGAGGCTATTGTGTATTGGGCGCTTAATAATTTATTTATTCACCCTAGAGGCCGAGGACTCCCAGTGACAGTGGCAACCTGCTTCTGCTTGCCCTTCCCTCAAGTTCATCCCCAGGCTGCAGGGAGGTGGGAGTAAGGTCTGACTAGTAGAGACCCCGTCTGCACGTCATCCTCGCGGACGCCCCCTTTCCCCTCAGGTTCTGCGTGTGCGGAGCTGGGATGGTGCTAGCCAGCCCTCCAAAGCAATGTGCCTGACCTCCCTCCATTTGGCAGTCATGACCTGGAGACCTTTCTATGACTCCGCCGCTTCTTAGGGGGAGTTGCGACATTTCAGGGAAAGCCTTTTCCCCAGGGCTTTTCCTTCACCATCAGCAAACTCCTGTTTCAGGCAAATTATCAACAAGTCGGTTCTTCAGGACAAAACTGGTTGCATCTCCTTCAAACAAGCCGCTTGCTGCTCCTACCCTACAAAAACCTTCCCAGGCGCCATGCAGGCGCCCTGCTATCTGGTGATAGCGCTTTATTAAGCGCTCTGATTGATGTTCCCGGGAGGTGGGGGTGTGACAATTCCAGTCAAAGTCCCAAAGAGCCAGGCAATCCTGTCTGGGGTAGGATAAGAGAACCAGAAGCTTATAGTGGAAGGGAGATCCCACAGCCCATTGGTTAAGAAAGTGACTTAATTCCCCTTGCCTGTCCTCAAGGGCACCTTTGAGTCACTCCAGATAAACTCACACTAAATACAAAGTGCTTCACAAAGCAGGTTTCAGACCAATTCTCCAGCAGGTTCCTTCATCAGAGCCCAGCGGCAAGGCCTCTCGTTCTCGGTGCATGCCTAGCTGATGAACTTGTGAGCCCCACGTGCCTAGTTCTACCAGAGATCCTGTACAGGAGATGTGAATGAGGCTATCCCCTGGGGGTGGGGGAGATCAGGGAACCCTGTTAACAGGTTGCTAACACTGTGGTATCCCACTGTCCTTGAGACAGGGGTCCGGCTTACACTGATCAAGAGAACAGACAAATGGAGACTAGCTGAAAGGATGTTAGGACAAAATGGCCTGGGGCTGTGGGAACATATCAGCAGGTCTGGTAGCCCCTTGTGCAAAAATATGGAGATATTTGTCCCTTTATTAATTCAGTCATTGGTGTACAGTATTCCCGCACCTAGTAGGAGCCAGCAGAATACTGGGTACCAGGCACAGGAAAACAGTAGCAAATCATATACCTTTAGTCAGGGAGAAGGGACAGAGAAAAGCTTGATGAGGGTGGACTTTCCTAGAACAGTGACCAGGACAGTCTCGAAAAGGGTAATGAGGCGTAGAACTGAGGCTTGTCCATCAGCTGCAATTAAATGATGCATTTAAATAAAATGAGTGTTTTCCTGTCTTTGTAGCCTAAGCCAATTGAAGTGTTTTGCCTAGGACAGGACTCCAGTCTTTAGCTAAGACAACAGCACCTGATACCTGGAGCCCTTTGCTACACGGAAATGCTACTTGTGATACATTATTAATTCACTCTCATAGTCCTGGCTAAATCCTGCAATTGTTCCAGTTGGGAAGTCCAGAGATGTTTCTTAGTACTCAGAATCACACAGCTATTTCCCTACGATTCACAAATACTAACTTGCAATTGGAGGGTTAAGACATTCCAGTCTGCAGCTGTAGCTCAGTTGCTAGAGTGCTTGCCTATCATATACACAGCCCTGGGTCAGATCCCAAGTCCAGCGTGAACTGGGCATGGTAGGCCCTATCTCAAGTCCTAGGACTCAGGAGGTATAGCTGGAGACAGAAAGATGAGAATCTCAAGGTCATCCTTACCTACGTAGCATGTCGGAGGCAAGCCTGACTGTTTTGTACGTTGGTATTCAATTTTCTGTTCTGGATTTAACTTGTGTACCTCTGGAGAGTCATCTGGTCCCCTACTTCCTAGCCCATGAAACTGGGGAGTCTGACACTGGGAATGTCACGACCTCCAGTAGAATGAAGACCATCTTCTGTAATAGGTCTCTCATGGCATCGAAAGACCTAGATAGGTCCTAGCTTCTGTCAGCCTGGGATGTCTTTTGACATGAATCACCAAGTGACTTTACAAGGAGATAGTTCCCCCAACCCCTTGGGAAAACATGGGCCAGCTAAAGACAATAGATGGAGAATGGAGGGAGGCCTGGCTATGGGGTCTAATGGTTCCATTTAGCCTATTAGGGGGTGTCCAGTAGGTGTGGCAGAGCACTGGACAGCACTCTCAATCTCTGGCCAGCTTGACAACGCCTAATCCTATGTTTGTCTCTGTCCTTCCCTTTCTACGGCATCCCCACTCATCTTACTGTTGATCTGGGATTTTATTCCTCACCAAAGTGTATCTGACAGGTTTCTCCAGAGGAATAAAACAAACAGAATGGGCTAATAAAAGGTGATTTATTAGACAGGTGTACACAATCAGAGGACACATAGTCTCACAGGATCTGGCTGCAGGCTTCAGAATCGGGGAATAAATTACTAAGTGCCCCAAACTGGGAACCTCAGAACAAGAGAGAACAACAACCCAGCCCCAGATGAAGGCAGGAGTCTTGAAAGCTTAGAACATCACTGATGTAAATCCGCAGTCAAATAGTAGAAAATCTAGGGGGGTCTTATGTCTGCAAGTGATGGTAACAGCCCACCCCAAACAATCACCTCTCAACAGGAGTAGCTTGTACCCACTGAACTGAAAACCCTCCTCCAGCTTTTTCTCCAGTATAGGCACACAGCCCATCGGATGGCGCTTCTCACATTCAGGAAGTGTCTTTGCCAGTCGGTTCTCTGATCTGTCAATTATCTCTGGAGAAACTGCCACAAACACACCCAGAGTGTGCTTTACCAGTCCTCTGTGCATCTCAATCTAGACAAATAAACCTGTGGGGCATGGCCTTGTGAGATCCAAGCCAGGCATGCCATGTAGAAAGTCTATTTGGTAAAACCACTTGTGGTACATGTAAGTTGTCCTTGCACATATGGCTGATCTTGGCTGTCAACTTGACCAGATTAATTCTTATTTTAAATATTTAATTCCATGTGATGTATGTGGAGGTGGGTGAATACATGCCCAGGAGTACTTTCAGAGGCCAGAAGAAGGCATCAGATTCCCTGGAGCTGGAGTTACAAGCAATTGTTAATGACCTATGGGTGTTAAAAAGTGAACTAAGTTCTTCTGGAAGAGTGGAAAAACACAAAGCCACCTCTCCAGCCCTGACATGGGAATTCCTAAAGCTTCATCTGTGGCTAACAGGAATGAGGAACTGTTGGGAGACGGAGCCTTATGGGATCAAAGGCTTCAGAGTGAGAGCGACAGTCCTTGTAAGGATGTAGGGTTAGTCAGGGACCTTTTCTGTCATCGTTGAACATTGTAAGAATAAAACGATAGGCTTAGAGCATTGGCTGTTCACTTAAGCCGTGCCTTGTCATAAAGCTTGAGGACCACTCTTACCACCCACACGACAGACTGAACACCAAGCCTGGACCTGATTAGAAGGGATAGCCAACAAGAGGGGGGACCAAATACATAGCTACCTCCAGTGTCTTGTGTCCTATAAGTGTCTTGTGTTCCTATAAGGAATAGGTTGGATCTTATAATCTTGCAGAGACGTTTGAATTGATAAGCCTGAAAATGTTTAACGGTCAAGGCCCCCCTAACTTGTCTGGAATGTTGATGAATTACTTTTCCCATTGTTAAAATAGAATTATTAGCAATATAAATGTTGTGTGTCTTTTATTTGGGAGTTAAATGATCTAAGGTGTGGTATAACCCCTCCCCCCTCAACTAATGCTTATCACCACAGATGGTTGTGCTCTGAAAGCTAGGAGCTGGATTCCATGATGGTGGAAATTCACTTGCTTGTATCAATGCAGGCCAGGGTGGTGGCAAGGCCGGGGATATACCAAGTCAGAAGACACACCATGGGCGTAGTTATCACAGGGGCACCAAGTCTCTCGTGGCTGTGAGGCTACTTGAGCTACAGGATCCATATAATTGGGTGTGAGACAGATAGAAAGCTAACAAGAGTGTTGATTAACATGTAAACATTTCTGTATGAATGTGATCATGTATGTGTGAGGGTGTGTACACGCAGGTGTGCATGGGTAGGTGTGTGCACACGTTTGTGTAGTTCGGTCATCAACCTCAGGTGGTGTTTCTCAGGCAACTTCCACTTTGATTTTTGAGATGGCTGTGATGGTTTGTATATGCTTGGCCCAGGGAGTGGCACAATTAGAAGAGGTGGCCCTGTTGGAGTGGGCGTGGCCTTGTTGGAGTGGGTGTGGCCCTGTTGGAGTAGGTGTGTCGCTGGGTGTTAGCTGCCTGAAAGC